ATGATCACACCTATTTTATAAATGAGGAATTTGTGTCACAGAGCAGTTGAGCATTGGGTCAAACAGAAAGTAAGGAAGCCATGGTATCAAAATTTAAGTCCACATCTGTCCAAATCCAAACTGCCCACTCAGTCCTATGCTATGTCTACACACACACACACACACACACACACACACACGTTTTCTTTTTCCTTCCTTTTCTTGCACTTGAGCAGCAACAATTCACTTCAGTCTCAGGAAATTTGAGCTTGACAAAAAAGTGCATGTGCTTATGTGAGTCCAACATCACACTTCCACGGGGGTGGTAAGCCTTTCCTAACATGCAAAGGGAAAGATGACTCCCCGTCAGGTGGAAAGGTCACATGGCACCGGCCACTTTTACTAAATAATGCTGAACCTGCACTTCATGAAAGCAAGAACAAAAGCTGTCTGCTCTAGCCCTTAAGGTACTGCACTCCTGGAAAATAAGACTCCTTTTAAGACATGGGGGTCTGTTCACTTGTTTTCATTTTATTTTTTAAAATAACACTTCACGTATTCTGTAAAGCAGAACTGCCTGTATGACAAAAATATCTCACTATGAAGTTTTTGGTTTTCCTTGGCCATTTTAAGTGGAAAATAATTCTAGGCTGAGTTATGAATTCAAATATGAAATAGTCCCTGAGACTCGAGGAACTGACACATAGTATGTGCTGATAGCATGAAGGAAGGTACTGGGTATGGTGTGAGGAGCAGGGAGATTTCCCAGAAGAGTGAGGCACAGTGGCTGGCCCAACAGAGCCCTTGAGGTCCTAAGCCCCAGCTCTGCCCATCTGAGCCCTGTCATTTGGGGTTAGCTCCTTCACTTCCCTAAACACCACAGGCCACTCCTATAGCGAGGGTATGTGGCTCATAGTTTTGTACCTTGGCTTACAGGAAACTGCATTATGTTCTTCACTTTTAACTACCTTCTACTTCCCCTTTACCATTTAGACACTCTAAGGTGGGGCTTCCCCCAGCCTCTGGCCTCTGGGTTTCTGTGTACTACTTTCTCCCTGGGGTTACCACCCCTTAGCCACTTCAAACTCCTACAGTGCATCTTCACACAGACACCTTGCCCAACCCCTTTACCCTCAGCCAGAGTAAAGCCAAATTTGTTATTTCTTCCCTAAGTTATCGCCTGACGCTTGGAATGGACAGTTCTTTTAAACACGGCCCCTCATCCCATAGACTCCAAACCCCCAAGTCATCCTTAGGCTTGTTTTTCTAGTTGCTTATCAAGGCAGTCACCAAATTCTGTTCCTTATCTAATTCAGTTCTTTCTCTGAGACCTCCTTCAGTCAGATCAGGAATGGAAATTCAATGGTTTATAATAATTTTGTCAGTGCTTGTTTGTTTCCTTGTTTTAGGAGTAGCAGGACTTCCTTCATATTGATTTTATTTTTATTATTATTATTATTATTATTAATTTTCTTTTTTGCAATGCTAGCGATCAAACCCAAAGTCTTGAGTATGTTAGGCAAGTGCCCTACCACTAAGCTACACCCCCACCCCACAGATTTGTTATTTTAAAAACTGAAATTAAACACACTTCTGTTCTCTCATCTTAATCACCTATCTATGCTATAGTTAACAAAATTGGTTCTTGATACCAGAGTCACTACCTTTCTAGGGTCTTATAAACAATTTCCACATTAATCTATGCTTCTCCACTGGAAATCTCCAACAGTGTTGGAGGCTTTGTATTTAAGGTTCTCTCAAATTTCTGTCTGGCCTGTTTTTCAGCCTCCTCCATTGCTCCAGTTCAGTGCCCTCTGTTCTCCCTAAATTCCCTACTCTTCTTGGAAATTACCTAGCCGTTGCCTGGTCACAAACCTTTGCTCATACCATTCTTATCTCTTTTCCATACTCTTTGCCTTAGCCACATTTGCCACCTGTGGCTGAATCAGCAGGCCTTTAGCCTCTCCCACCCCAATTATCCCGCTCTTTTCTTTCCTTTCTGAACTCCACATCACCTTGGGATGGAATTTTCATAGCATGTATCACATACAACCTCCCTTCTAGACTATGAGTTCTTAACACACATTTTGGACACTTCTGAACACTGACCACTCCACTGATTAGACTTTAGTCTTTGATTAAGTCACTGAGACAAGGGTAAGAGCAGTGCTTCCTTGCTCCTGCCAAAAACCACAGACCGACTTTCTATTTTTCTGTCTTTTTGACCTAATTACATAAACTTACCATTTTGGAATTGGAGAGCTCAATAAGATTTTAATCCCCAAACCTTTTTCATCAATGTTGAAATGAGATGCTGAGGAGACAGTGTACAGTCAGAACACATCACTGGCTTTTGGTAGATGGAATACGAAGGCTAGAAACCACTGTGCACACCAGAAACCCCTGGGTTTCCAAATCACCTCCCCAAATAGTGAACTCAATGTCTTATGCATAGAAGAAATCTTTGCTTATTCCAATACAAAGAACACAGCAGAAGTCTAGGTTGTAGAATCAAATTAGGTTTGGATTTGTGCCTGGTTACTGCACAGATTTTGGTAAAAACAACAGTTTTTCAGTCCGTTTTCTCATCTGCAAAAAGTGAACTGTTTCCTCATTTGCAAAATGTGGACAGTTATCTCCACTTCATAAAGCAGTGTTGGTGAAATGATAAGTGTATGAAGTGTTTAGTACACAGGAAATTGAGGCTACAATTTAAAATAATATTAAGTAAGTTATAAATTTGCAGATTTAGTTCTTCTTAATAATGCTTAGATTTTAGCACAGATCTATTTCTAAATTTAGTAAATGTATCACTTATTTCAGTTTTCTTTCCTTTCCTCTCAGAATGTTGTAATTATTTGAGCAGCTGTGTTACTTAAGAGTTCACCACATTATTTCTCGTAAAAGTTCCTTTTCTTTAAAAAAAAAAAAAAAGTATTTTGAGTATTCTGGAAGGTGAATGCTTAGAGCATTTGGTCCAGCTAAGCAGGGTAACAGAGATGATGTTGTTTGTTCTTTTTGTTTTCTGACACTTTGCTGAGCTCTTTGTTTTATCTGGATAAAAGACCATGGCATTCACTTGATAAACACTTAGAGAGCTTTATCAGGCCTCAGTGTTAACTCTCCTGTTAGCTTCTTAAATGGCCTTGACCTTTTGCTCTTTCCATGATGTTGCCTTACCTTTCTCAAGAAGGCACAAAGATGCAGGGAATAAATGAAGACTGGTAGCACTTCTAAACCACTGCTGTGTTCTAATATACTGTGCTTTATATCAAATATGGGAGTAATAGTAATGTATTTTAACTGCAATTATGAGGGTCACACTAGATGATTTTAAAAGCCCCTCCCCTTCCCTGACTTCTAAACCCCAGAATGTTCAAATACTGGTACTTTCAGGAAAAGCCTCTAGGAACTCCCTTTTAGGGAATTTCTGTAGGACTGCTTCCTGCATTGGGGAACACAGGATTTGGTTTACTAAGTACGCATAAGTCAGAGAAAATACTATTATGAAAAACCGTTTTCTCCTCCCTCTAAAGTTCATACTAACTGTTATTAGTCAGCTTTTCATGACCAAAATACCTGACAAGAACAACTTAGAACAGGAAAAGTTTATTTTGACTCATGATTTCAGAGATAATGTCCATGGTCAGCCATTCCACTGTTCTGGGAAGGAAGTAGCAGAAGGAAGCTGCTGACCTCAAGGCGGCTAGGAACCCAAGAGAGGGGAGAAGACTGGCCCCACCTGCCGACAGTTACCACCCAGTTAGTTCATTCAAAGTAGGATGGACTGATTAGTTTATGGCTCTCAGAATACAATCATTTCACTTCCAAACATTCCTGTATTAACACAGGTGCTTTGGGGAGATACCTCATATCCAAACCAATAAAGAGCTATCAGAAATCACTCCAGAAAAAAACATCATAATAGAATGTAATAAAAACCCTCACAACTGGTCCCAGGACCAAGGCACACTTCCAAGTGAGAGCTGTTTCAGATGAGGTATTTTAGAGTTTAGGGAATCTAAGCTAACTATACCTAGATAAATTATTAAAGGAAACATGTTCTCAAGGTTCTTCTCCAAGAAAATAATTAACCCACCTTTCCATCAATGCACCTTACTGTTTTGGGCAGCAACGTGCGGGGCTGGATCTTTACTTTGGTATCATACAGATCTGAGGTTCTATAGTATCTCAAAGTGGTTGCAAGTGGAACAGTCAAAATAAACCTAATAACCATCTCCCCATTCTGGTTTGACTTGTCTGGGGTGCTTGGCCCTCTGGAACTTTAAAAATCTCATATGATTCGCATGTGTAGCCAGCACTGAAAATTATTGGCTGTTTTTAAAGTTACGTAACAAAATCTCCTCTCAAAACCCACCATCTCACCATTTAGCCTTCTGGTTACTGCTTATAGTCTCTCCCCACACACAGGGTAGTGAATTTCACTCTACACTCAGACTGGAATCATCCCAAAGTGGAATTCAAGAGGTGTCCTTGGTAAACAAAGAGAGCCAGGACAAAGAAAGTGATTTCCACCCAAATACGGTAGAAACAAGGATCATGCCTGTCATATTGCTCTCTAGACTCATTTTCTTGGGTCATTTCCTACTTGAGGTTTTCAGATCACGGGGTGTCCTAGGAGGCGACACCCATCCTTATTTTTCCCACCCTGACGCTGGCATTTGACAGATCTCCCAGAAGAAGCTACCAAAGCCCTGGGCGTGCACTGTTTCTCCGCTGCCAAGGCCTCTGAATTCCACCGCACCTACCGCCCGGCTGGACAGCACTCAGGCGCGCCGAAGGTCCACTTAAATTAATTCAGATTCCAGGGGGGCGAAGCCTGCGCCACGGGGACCCCTCCCCTCTCCCGGGTCGCCCCAGGTTTTCTGTTTATTGGGGAAGCTGATATTTACCGGGTGGCAGCCCAAAGCGGGCCCCACCCAGCAGCGGAAAGAGAGGCCTCGCGTCCGGGCCCCACAGCTCCGCCCTGCGCCGGAACCGCGGCGCGCCTACGCCCCTTGGGGGCGGTGACACGGCCGCGCCCAGCCCCTGTCGTGGTCCCCTACGCCTCACCCGCTGGCGTCACGGAGCCCGAGCTCCGCCCAAGGTGTTAAATTAACTCCTCAGTGCGCCGCGTTCCGCGCCGCCGCTCCCGACTTTCGCGCCGACTCGGCTTCCTGGTTGCGGACGCAGCGGAGTCGCGGCACCGGGCGTCTGTCCCGCGCGCCATGAGCCCCACGCGGCCGAGCGTGCTGCCCGCAGTGCTGCGCCTGCTGTCCCTGCTGCCCCTGCTGCTGCCGACTCCTCCGGGTGTCCGGGGTGAGTGGGACCCGGGAGCCGCCGGAGCCGGCTAAGCTTGTCGGGTATGGGGGAGCGCTTAGGTCTGTCCCGGTGTCTTCGCCGAGGGGCTGCGGACCCGGAAGGGAGCCTGTGGTCCTTGTGTAGTCATTGTTCGGTCACCCTCCACCTTGGGACTCAGACTTCAGACTTCAGACCCAGGGCTCCTGCTGACTTGATCCCCGGGTGGGAAAAGCGTCTCCGAGGTGCTGGCTCCCCGCTGGCTTGGCTTTGGGGACAGGTGTGAAGGGTTGAGGAAGTACTAGCTGGCTTTCAGGAGCAGCCAAACCTGGGGCAACTGAAAGGACTTTCAGAGCATGCATTTTCAACCCTCCAACAAGTCCGCTCTTTAAGGGTGGGAGGCCAAGGAGCTGTCCACTTAAGCCTGTGACACAGCCCAGTGCATTTGTGTCACTTGCTGGGTGTGCCTGGCAACTGCACCAACGTGGACTCACAGTAAATTCCAAACCACTTTTTTTTTTTTTTAAGTAAGAAGGAGGGTTATTTGCTCTCAACTTAGGCTTGAATTAATTGACAAGACGTTAGACCTACCAAGTTCTTGGTATGCCAGTTCAGCTTTGGGCAGAAGTAGAGGTTTCTCAGAAGCCATGGACACTTCCCCTATTCGAAGGAACTCTTGGAAAAGAATATTGCTGGGAACTGAAAAGGAGTATTTCCTTCAGGTCTGCTTCTTCCTCTCTAGGTGACTGCGGCCCTCCGCCAGAAGTGCCTAATGCCCAGCCAATTCTTGGAGGGAGTACCAGTTTTCCTGAGAAAACCGCAATAACATATAAATGCAACGAAGGCTTTGTCAAAATTCCTGGGAACCCAGACTCAGTGGTCTGTCTGTCCAACAATCAATGGTCAGAGTTTATAGAATTCTGTAATCGTAAGTTCTTCATTTCATTTTAGAAAAGTTATGGGAATGGAATGTGTCTTGTTCAGTGTACTATTATATCTCTTTGGAGTGACTGGTAATTGATAGTTTTCTAGCATTATTAAACCCCAGTGTATACTGTGTTGGCATTTCACACACCAGCTAATTGAAGGCATTACTTCCCTGCTTCTTCATTAAGAGTTTTTTTTTTTCCCCCTAACACTGCACCTCCCAAATGGGCTAATAGAGAAAGTAAACAATAGGTACTGTTTAGGGAGTAAATTATATGTGAATATATTTGGCAGTTATCTTGAGATGCATACCTAGGTGGTCTATTTTCTTAAATTTCATTTTGTTAAGTAGGACTTAGCAAGTATAGCTCTGAAATGACATTTTAAACTCTCTAAATTTATTTCCAAATCTATTACATACATAACTTTATGTATTAGCCTTGAGATAGTCATGTGTCCCTTAATGATGGAGTTATGTTCTGAGAAATGTGTCTTTGGGCGATTTTGTTATCTGAACAACATAGACTGAACTTAAACAAAGCTTAATAATACAGCTTACTACACACCTGGGCTATGTAGTGTAGCCTGTTAGTCCTAGGAACAAACCTGTACAGCGTGTTACTTTACTGAATACTGTAGGGAACTGTAGTACAGTGTTTGTGTGCGTCTAGACATATCCTAACATAGAAAACATTGCAGTAAAAATTAAAATTGGTGCACCTGTATAGGGTTCTTACCATGAATGGAACTTGCAGGACAGGAAGTTGCTCTGGGTGAGTTAGTGAGTGAATAGTGAGTAAATGTGAGTCTTAGGACATTATTATCCCAATACTGAAGACTTTTTAAATTCTGTACACTTAAGACTATGATAAATTTATTTTAAAAAACCTTCAATAATCAATTTACCTTGGCTTACTGTAACTTCTTTATAAACTTTTTAATTTTTTTAACATCGGGATCTCTATGTGTTGCCTAGGCTAACCCCCAGACTCCTGATCTCAGATGATCCTTCTGTCTCAGACGCTTTAGTAGCTGGGACTACAGGCATGTGCCACTATGTCCAGCTTGTTTTTTTTTTTTTTTTTAAACTTTGACGCTTTTATAATAGCACTTAGCTTAAAGCACAAACGTCTTGTACAGCTATACAAAATTACTTTTCCTTATTATCTTTTTTCTATTTTTAAGATTATTAATTTTTTTACTTTTTAAAACTTTATGTTAAAAACTAAGGCACAAACACATACATTAGCCCAGGCCTACACAGGGTCTGAATTATCAATATCACTATCTTTACCTTCATATCCTGTCCCAGTGGAAGGTCTTCAGGGGCAGTCACAGGCATGGAGCTATTATATCCTGTGATAAAAAAGAAAAGTAGAAAGAGTATACTTGAAAATAAAAATATAATATAGTAATACATAAACTAACAACAGTCATTCATCAGTATCAAGTTTTCTTGTACTATGCATAATTACATTTGCTATAAATTTATGCGACTGACAACACAGGATATTTGTTTCCATCGCGTCCCTGCAAACACATGCTGAATGATATTACATTATGATGACTATGACATCACTAAGTGATAGGAAGTTTGGGGCTCTATTATAATCTTATGGGACCACCATTACATATGCAGTCCATGCTTGACTAAAAAATCATTATGGAGTGCATGACTATATACAAGCAAAGATTTAAAAAAAACCAAACACTTAATTCCTGCTTTTCAAAAACTTGGACCAATGGAAACTATAATAAATACAGAAACTGCCACAAATAGTCTTTGAAACCATGTGTGAAATAGGCTCTAACTGTATATTTCTGTCTACTCCTGATAGAAGGTAGTAAGATGAAGCTTCCAATCCTTTGCACGTGCTTTGTGTTTAGTTTATAACCCTTCCACACCTATTGCTTCACCTAATCCTCCAGACATCCCCATGACTTCAGCAGGGACCCTTATTCCTCTCTCACACTTGAGAACACAAGCTCCCACAAGGTAAATAACCCCCTCAAGTCAGCATCTCTAATGCAAAAGAGCCAAAGTCAAGCTTGGAATTTTGGACTACTAATCCAGTGTCCCTTCCTGTACACCAAGCCTCTTTATAGGCTCACATTTGCTCAGCTGTTTACAGTTTGTGCATAATGTACACAATTGGCTTATCAGATCCTTGTTCCCAGGGGTTGTTGTGGAATTAAACGAATTTATATGTGCAAAACTAAGAGTTCAACGAATATTAGCTATTATTGTTGTTGTTCAGAACATTAGGCCAGGGGTCTGGAATATTTGTTATGTATCCCTGTACCTCATATCGTGGTGCTGTGTAATTCCTCAGGGCCATATCAGGGTAACATAATTATTGAGTCTTAGTACTGTGCCAGGAAACTTAAATGGGTTATATTTATGAAAAGTGGTGTTAGTGATATTTATATATTAGATCTATTTCAAAGGCCTGTGGTAACTAGGAAATGAATGTATTTATGCAAACACCCTTGGTACACCACAAATGCTGTAGTGACATTTTGTCAAATACCATGTACGTATAAAAAAGTAAAGGAAAGGGGAGGAATTTCCTCAAATAATTAAACATAGATTATAAAATAAGGTGATACGACTTTCTTGTTGTTGCTTTTGTTAATTCTTTTAGGTAGCTGTGATGTTCCAACCAGGCTACTTTTTGCATCCCTCAAAAAGGATTATAATATGCAGAATTATTTCCCAGTTGGTTCCACTGTGGAATATGAGTGCCGACCTGGATACATAAGGAACCCTTTTCAGTCTGTAAAACTAACTTGCCTTCAGAATTTAACATGGTCCAAAGCAGCTGAATTTTGTAAAAGTGAGTATAATTTTTAAAAGTGTTCTCACTTATCTGGTGTTGGGGGAAATAGCTCTTCATTTGTGCTGGAACTCTGGGTACGTGTTGTTATTTAGAATAATTCTTAAAACTATGAGAGTCATTTATTTTAAATTAAACAAACTAAGTATTTATGTGTTAGGAGTACTTATTCACTCACAAATTTCACACTTCTTTAATGTGAGCTTCTAGATATGTTGCTTTTTTGAAACTTATCAAAAAAAATGAAGGTAGAATTCAGGAACTCTAAGGATTAGATATAGCAGTGGTTTGGATGATAAATTTTGTGCCTGATCATTTTAAAAAATTCTAGTTTTATATTTTATACCTTTTACTACAGTAAAATTAACACATAAAAATTGTATGTATTCAAGGGATACAGTATGATGTTTTAATATACATATGTGTTATGAAATGATGACCACAATCAATCTAATTAACATATCTACCACATGGTTATTTTTTATTGTGTGTGTCTGGATAATTTAATGGAAAAAAATTGTATTTTATTTTAGAAAAATCATGTCCTAATCCTGGAGAACTACGAAATGGTGATATCAATATCACAACTGGCCTATTTTATGGTTCGCCAATCTTCTTCTCATGTCACACAGGGTAAGTTTTGTTATGCTGAAACTCTATGCTTAACAAATAAAGAACAAATTAGTACTTGACATGGAAATCGCTAGATTTGTGACCATTGTTCACAGACTGGTGGCAACCAAAACAACCTCTGTCCTCAAAGATTCTTTATAAGCTCATTACAGTTAAACTTAGTAATAAGAGGTCAAGAAAGGAAATTTTATACCACAAACTTCTCTGAATTCTTAGATTTCATTACATATGTGATTTAAAATAAAATTTTAAATGTGATTGCTAAAGGAAAAAAATTGAGATACGTGGGTAATACTTAGAAGTCAGAAGTAGCAATCCTTCATGTATTAAATATGAAGCTAATTTTTAATTGATCTTAATAAGGAATTAGCACCTGAATTTTTCCATATGCAACCAATTTATGAAATATCGTAGGCTAAAAACATTTATCCCTAGTTTGAAAATATTCTTCTAATGTAAATTCTTTTACCTTTCTCTATGGAGGGAAAAGGAATGTACTCATTGAATACCATCAATGCCTTGAATGCAGCTGAAAACTTTACATTCATTTTCTTATTTACTATTTTCAGATTGAATTATGCTCCCTCTTATGTGCACACTCTGTCCCTCCCCCCCTCTTTGCTACCTATATATATATATATATTTTTTAAAGTACTGAGAATTGAACTCAGGGGCACTCTACCACTAAGCCATATCCCCAGCCCTATTTTGTAATTTTCTTTAGAGACAGGGTCTCACTGAGTTGCTTAATGCCTCACCATGCTGAGGCTGGCTTAGAACTTGTAATCCTCCTGCCTCAGCCTCCTGAGCTGCTGGTATTACAGGCCTGAACCACTGCACTTTATAAAATAGTCTTTATAAAATAAAATAAAAAATAGCAGTTTTATTTGTCTATTAAATACAGATGTTAGTTGGGTCATTAAAATCTGAGAAATACTTTGAACCCTTTAACAATAAATGCTTCCACTAGTTCATGAAATCTGTATTGATCTTTTGGAACTTAGAAATATAAATTGTTTAGTCATCTATGTCATTTAAAAATGTTTTCTACATTTTGTGTTTTCTAATATATGCCCCTTGCAAATAAAAAATGTTCTATGTGTCCTACACTTTTTTTTACCCTTAGGCTATACACTTTTTTTTTACCCTTAGGATATCTTATAACTTAGTTTTTTCTTTTCCTTTAAACTTCCCTATGGACTTTTTATCAACTATTGTTTTGTCTCCATCTACTGGTGTAATAAATAATTTTAAAATGATATTCTAGAGAATCTGAGAAAAGCTAAGTATGTGTGGATATATCTTAATTTTTTTCTCCCCTTTTTGTTCTAGGTATAGATTAGTTGGCGAATCTTCTAGTTACTGTACTCTTTTTGACAGAACTCTTAAATGGAGTGAACCATTGCCAGAGTGCGTAGGTAAATCTTTTTTAAAAATCTAAGCAGTCTGTTTTTAGAGTTGAATAATAATGATAAATTACTTCTGCTCGTTAAGAATTATCTACAATGTATATTTCTGGTATCCTTATATTCCAATGGGTATTATTGCTAATTGAAAGACCTTCTCTAGTGATATTTCTTACTTTATTAGCTGTGGGAATAAACTATCAAGCTTCCCTGAGTCTCAGTATTCTTAACTATAGAATGGGAATTAAAAACAAACTTAGGTTTGCATTGTACTTGATCATTTATTATGTAACCATTCCTTCTGAGAGTCAAGTAAGATAGTAGATTTTCCCCCCTGCAATTTTTACAACATAATTAGAGCAATTCTGCTTGTATTTGTTTTACAAATTCAGCTGCTCAATAAGATTTATCTTGAGTCTCTGCGAGTTACTACATACTAAAAATTTTTGCTCTAGAAGTGAAAATATAGTCCTGACACTTAAGATTTTTTACTCTATTCAAAATCATCTGTATATATTTCTGAATTCTCAACTCCTTTCATTTATTGCCATTCCCCTGGAATGAAGAGCTATGCTGTCTTTCCTGTCTTGGAAGAAGGGTACATTTTAGGATTAAACTCAAGTTCCATTTCCTCCCTAAAGTCATTTCTGACTGCCCTATTTTTTGACTCTAACATCCTGTAGCATTGACTTTTTCAAGCTTTGGTTTGATGTGTGGCACATACAAACATTACTGGAATTTTTGGTTTACATGTGTCCTAAATCTAATTTTTTTTATAAATTGATCTCAAGGTTAACATTCATGTTCTATAATATTTGCATTAAGAGCTCCAGATATTCTACCCATTACTTAATAGACATGTACGAGCATCCTTTGTTGATAATGCTGAACTTGTAGGGGGTGGAGGCAGCCAGAGGCTTGACTATGGGGATTTCAATAGATTACCTTTGGTCTCCTGCCCATATTATCCACATGTGTAGTCAAAAGAGAGAATGATGATGAAGCAAAAAGAAATGAATTTATTCACAGTTTGATTCCAAAGCCAAAATAGTATAGAATTTGTATAGTGAACAAAAGCCAAGAACTATTGTTGTAAGTCTGGTTTGTAAATCCTGCTCATCTTCTGGGTCCCTAGTGTGGGGCTGCGGGCAGTTTCCATTCTCGGCATGATATGCAGCTTGGAAAGGTGGCAGGGGGGCAATTAAATGTACTTAACCTGTACTTAAAAGGTACAAGCTGGGTGCTTCTTCTAGATCTTTTAATTTTAAAGTTGGTCCTTTTACAAACTGAGAAAATGATATATTTTGATTTTTAAAAAATCATGTTTTAGTTTTTATTTGTAAAAGTACTTTGCTAGTTATATATTTTTTTAAAAAAATTGTAATTCTTTTTAAGAAATTTACTGTCCAGAACCAATCCAGATTGACAATGGCTATATTCAAGAGGAACAGGAAGTTTACGTATATAGACAGTCTATAACATATGGATGTAATAAAGGATTCAACCTGGTTGGAAAGAGCTCCATTTATTGTACTGTCACAGAAGACGAAGGAGAATGGAGTGACCCACCACCTCAGTGCATAGGTAATCAGTTCACAATAGTTATATTTTTGTTTATTCTTACCCTTAGGCCTATATGTGGGCTATAAAGATTCTATGAACTCTCTTAAGAAATAAATGTAAAATCATATATGTGTGTGTGTGTGTGTGTGTGTGTGTGTGTGTGTATGTATATATAGCATATTTTCACTTTTCTGTGGGACAGTTTTTTCATCCGATTGTCAGAGGGGACTGTGACTTCCATACACACAGGCAAAAAGAATATAAAATATAAAAGCTTAAGAGACATTTGAAATACGTTAAAATTCTAACTGAGGTTAGAAAGAGAGGAGAGAGGTAGAAAGAGAAAAAGAAGAATGAAGAGGGGAAGGAGAGGAAGTTGGAAGAGAGGGGAAGGGATGAAGGCAAGATATTGAAGAAGATAATGACTGAGAATTTTCTATAACTAATGAAATACACCAGGCACTGATTACTCACTTCTCAGCAAAAAGAATGCAGCCCAAAAGACAATGAAAAGAAAACTGTAAAATACTATAAGAAAATGACTGTTCACCTAGAGTTCTGTACCCAGTGAATTTATCTTTCAAAACTACAAACAAGATATATTTAGGCAAAAACTGAGGGAACTTGTCAATGGCATACCAGTCCTTATGAAAACTAAAGGAAATTTTTAAGTAGGATGAAAATAATCCCATGTCATACATGAACATGCAAGAAGAAATGAAGAACACTGACAATGGGTAATGAACACTGACTTCATGAGGGAGTAAAATACTGTGTCTTGTGGGATTTGAATTATATGTAGAATATAATAGAAATAGAACCTCCGACAGAAATAAGGAAGAGGAAGTAAATTCAGTGTAAATGTTCCAAAGTTCTAGATGTACTGAAAAAAGTGGGAAGCGTAATTAATTTGCCTAGTTGGCTTATAGTCTAATGCTAATTGCTAGAGTTGCCACCAAAGAATTCTAAAAGAATGTGTATATCACAAGCATAAAGGAAGGATATTATTTAATCCTGAAGAAAATGAGAGGAAAGGAAACAAATGTAAAATAGATAGTGGTTGAAACCTAAATTCATCAGTAATTGTATTAATTGTAATTTGACTAAGATTGTCAGATTCAAAATAAAACCTAACTATTTACTGTTTACAGGAGACATAGTTGAGTGATAAGACAATAAATTGATTGAAAACAATGGGAAATGTACTATACAAACATTAATAAAAACGGTGCAGCTCTGTTAATATCAATGAGTACCTGAAGATTGGACAGTTCATGATAAAGGAATCAATTTGGGAAATCTGCAATTCACAATCTAAAATATGTATGCATTTGAAAAATAGTTTCATTGGATAAGAACAAGAATGGACAGGAAAAAAATAGACAAATCCACAATCGCAGTTGGAAAATTCTACATACTATTTCAGTAGCTAATAGAATGAACATTAAAAATCATTAAGAATATGGAAGATCTGAGCAATAGTTGAGCTTAAATTTATGTGTAAGGATATGGGATCCTCAATGACAGATGGCCCATTTTTTTCAAGTGCACATGAGACCTACACCAAAATTGACCATATAGCTAGGCTTGGAATTAAATGGATTTCAGAAGATTGAAGTTATTCAGAGCATGCATTCCTGAACACAGTGGAATTAAATTATGCATCAATAACAAAAAATAAATAAATTTTCAGAAAATATAACTCCTTTGGTAGTATATAAGTCCTCTGAATCAAAAATAAGAATTAATTCAGTGGAACAAAGAGTTCTTTTTATACACAAGGGTTTTAAAAGGAAAAGTCCATATAAAAACCTTATTTACTCCAATGATGATGACATTATTTGAGTGCTGCTAAGTGCTGTGTTCCTTGCTAAGTATTTTATTGACTTGTCCCTTATATCATCCTGTGATATAGGTAAAGGAAACAAACAAACAAAAAAATAACATATCATCTGAGTACCCAGAATACTGGGTGTGTGATGGGAGGTGGCTGTGGTACTGGCTGATACAACCTGTTGCTTTGGGGACACAGCTGTGTGAAGCAATTTACCAAGTCATTTCCATTCATCTTTACAATGATGTCATGCAATCTACATTAGGTTTTTTGTTTTTGTCTTCATTTTTTATTAATTTATTTTTAAAAATTGACATAATAGTTGTACAATTACATGGAGTACAATGTGATATTTCAATACATGTACAACTGTGCAATGATCAAATCAGAATAATTAGCATCAATTTGTTCTGTTTTTCTCCTCAGTTTACAGAGGAGAAAAGCAAAGCTTAGAGGGATTAGAGAACAAGGGATTAGACCCTTGGCATGTGGTAGAACAAGCCTCTGGCACGGTCTGCACAGCAAGTCTGTATAAACAACCCAGACATTGCCATTTTGTTATTTGTGGTTCTAAGAATATGTCTTTAATGGAAGTTTTTTAATAATTGTTCTTTGGCCTGAAATCTGAAGAGGAACTAAACAGATACATAGAGTTGGTAACTGGTACAAGAGGAAAGGGAATTATTTTTACTCAGACCTATGAATTACTTAAAAAAGAAGTGAAATAGTGAAACCTAACATGTCCTGAAAGCACTGGAAAAAGCAACAGTGCTATGACTGTCTACAGCAGTTCAGTGATAGCATCATGTTGTTCCTTGGCCCTGGCATACAGGAAGGAGTACAGTTTTGGAGAGAAAATAAAGAGAAATGAGAATGAGATCACCACCGACTCCAAATTTGGTTTCCTTTTTCTTCTTTCCCCACACGGAAAAGTTTGAGACCCTCAATATGACCTTAATGTAAATCTGTTTTAGTCACCTATAGGTGTAATTAATATCAGAAGCAAAAACAATGTATTAACTCCTTGCCATATACAGTAAGACTAGATTTCCCCAAAAGTCAGTCTAGGTTTTTGGTGGGGACAGAAAGCCTACAGAACAAGCAATGGCTAATAAAGTTTCACTGGAAAAGCAATATTTCGCTAATTTTTTTTCTTAACATTTTTCCTCCACAGGAAAATCCTCAGGTTACAAGCCTTCACCGACAGCTCAGAAGCCCACCACAGTCAGTGTCCCAGGTACAAGAGCACCATCAACACCCCAGAAGCCCACCACAACCAGTGTACCAGGTACAAAGGCCTCACCAACACCTCAGAAAACCACCACAGTAAATATTCCAGCTACAAGAGCCCCACCAACACCTCAGAAGCCCACCACAATCAATGCACCAGGTACAAGAGCCCTACCAACACCTCAGAAGCCCACCACA